CCATCCGGAATATCTCGATATTAATTGAAGATGAAGACATAGAGGCTCGAGCGACGCGACGTGAATACATTTAGTGGCCCAGATTTCTACTCTCTTCTAAATTTAAATAACACGAGGAGATTTTTACATATCGTAAATGCATTTCGTACACCGGATACGAGTTCTTCGGCTCAAAGATGTCTGGGGCATTTTTTGTGTTTCGTCAGTATGGTTATTTAATTGCTGATATTTAATATAAAAGGTTCTGCGCGATGGTGTACACAGAAAGGAGCAATAATAAAAGCACGGTTTGTAATTTGTAACAGGATGCACACACATACACTTACGGCGTGTACACACACAAATAAGTCGGATGCAACCAGCCAGAAATTTTAAATTCAGTTTCCGGTAGTGGAAGAAAAATAAAAACCATAGCAAACGTATGTGGAATACAAAAAAAAACTAAATTACCCATTGCATTTAAATTGAAGTATAAATGTACGAAGTATGGATGTTAATAATAAATGCATCTGAAATAGTTTCCTGTTTGTGAATTTTCAAAAGCAAAACTTGAGCGAATCGAGAAAACAAAAATTTCAAAATCTCAATCTGTCCCCGTTCGTATTTTTTTTTTATTGCAGTGTGTATATTTATGTGTTTTTTTTTATATTGTGATTGACCCGAATTTGGTGGATGATCCGAAGAGTCTTGACTTTCTTCGCGAAAGTTTCATCCTATAAAATATTTAAAACTATAAACATTATTCGGTTCTGTTCGATCCCAAATGCAGATCTCGAAGTCGTCTTCTCTCTGTACTCGTTTTTTTTTTTTAAATTTATTTACTTCGATGTAATAAATGCGAAGACTTTCAGGCTCTTTTGCATTTCACGCGCGCTTTACAAATTTTTTTTTGAAAGACCATCTCGGCTTTCACTCGGAACTTGCGCGACGCATGTCAAGAGGTCAAAGTAAAAGCAAAAGCGATTTACAATTGTAATCGTCCACCCTGAATTATTATTAGTATTATTATATGCATGAAGCCACGTGGAACTAGATCGGAGATCTGTAACGAAAAGAAGGAAACAGCGTGATTCTTGTTTCATGAAATATTGCCTCGTGCCATCGCAGATCTATTCAGCGTTATTATGTTTCCTTAATTGTAACTTGTATTGAGATAAAATTACATCAGACGCTTTTTTTTTTGTCAAATTACTGTTCAACAAATCGACGTTTATTTCGTGTGGACTTGAACCCATTTGGTCCTTCCGATTCGGAAATTGGTATGGGCGCCCGCATGGCCGTAACGGGACGCACAATTTCAATAATTTTCATCGCTCCTCGTCCGTTCGTTCATGTCCAATAGAGAACTTGGCGAACAAATTAATAATATCAAACAATAATGTTTCACGTGAATTATTTTCATTTTAGAAACAAGAACAACGGACGTGGGAAATTTACGCAAATTGAGGGGGGGCGGCCCAATTATTTCTTTTTTTCTACTTGTATCGGAACAATACCTGCGTTTTAATGAAGCCAACTCTTATGAGCGTTGCGACAAAACTCATTGTCTCGCGCCAGATTTAAAAATTATTTAAATCCGCTTAAATTAAAGTACGAAGATCGTTTATTATTCCGAAGGATAAATGGAACAATGCGAATCTCATGGCCGGAGTTCATCATCATCGACGTCGTTCTTGTAGTTGTTTTTTTTTTTGGACACAAGAAGATTGGTCCAGTTTTGCACTTTTAATTGCTTAACCAACAAAAAAAAATTAAAATGATAATACCTGTATTTTATTACTTGGCTGCGTAAATTTTGTTTAAAATTACTTTTGGCAGCTGTCGATTTCACCATCTGTCTGCAATAAACTCTGTGGGTTTTTCTTTACTTTAAAACGTTAAATTGTATTTTATAATTAGTATACAGTGGAACCTCCTTAACGAGCAAAATGAATTGTAAGAAAAATTACTCACTTAACGAGTAACAATGAGAAGAGAAGTTCTGGATGTACAAATATTATATGTATTAATATGTTTCACTATACGAGTAAAAATTTATACTACTTATTTATACTATTTTCAAAAATACTCATTTACTTTCAAAACATTTACTTTAATTTGCATTAATCAATTAGTAATGAGTTCTTAGTATAATATAAAATACTAAAAGAAGATCATTTACATAACATCAAATGAAAATCATTAAAATACTAATATTATCTATAATAATATTGTTTAATAATTTGTTGTGTAAAGTTCGTTTGTGTGTTTTCAATTGTTTGCGTCATAGAATGACAGCAATTATCTAACGCTCGAAGCTTATCTTCGAGAAATTTTGCAGTAAAATTAGTAACGTTTTTTTTTCTTCTTCTACTTGCAAGTGTACTGGCTTTTTCGCGTGCGTTTGCCTATCATTTTATTCGTAACGCCGTGTTTTTGTTTTGTTCCATCCGCTTTTGCGATTATCGAGCCGCCGTTGCGCAACGAGCGTGGCTCTCCCATTGTGTGCGTGTATATTGTACATATATATATATATATGGCTGTACCTTGACTCCAGTTTTTGGTGAGCTCAGTACAAACCCGAAGCCGTCGCGCCATGGATGGGCAATGCCTCTGCAGTTTGTTCCTACGCGAAGAATAATTGTGCTGACGACGAGGATTAACTTACCACCATCGTCGTCGAAAGTGGTTATAGGATAATAGTAGGAAACCACGAGAGGCTGTTCAATTTGTCCGGATGTGGATTAATTCTTGTTAACGGTCGGTGCAGATTTGTAACTTTTTTTTTACAACTAGTTGCTTTTACTCTCATTTTAGGACGACTTTTGATCTCTAAATCCTTAAGCTCCAAAGGGAAAACAACCTTCTTCAGGGAAAATAAAAACATAACAACTTACGTCCCTGTGCTTAATTAATGAATATGCCTTGCACTTAAGTTGCGGCGTGCAAATGTTTAATGGCCCAGAAAAATCTAAAATCCAATGCTAAATCCGCTCGAAGAGGGAATACAAAACAATTATATAAGACTCGATTTATTTACAATCTAATGGGAAATTCGTGGTGCGTGAAGGGGATTTAGCTTGTTTGTTTATTGTTTTTTTTTCTTCTTATTCTTCACTACTATAATGACTCCTTCTAATTACTTATATCCGATCGGTTTCGCAATAATTAATTCGTTCTGGAATCACGTGCTTTTATAGGCAAACAATCATTTTACTTTTACTAAATAATTGCTAATTTAATTTCGGTAATTTAAGACTAATCAATTAATCCATTTTTATCTACAATATCTTAAAGTAATCTACTTTGA